CATAAAAAGGAATCCGAATAAATATTAAAGTTCAAACATGAAAGTGGTTGTGGGAACTTGGGGTGGATTTTCTAAGTACAATGAAACAATAAACCTACGTAGGTGGATTGCACCCACGCGTCCTCTTGGCTCTCCCCTTGCTGTAGAATTGCTCCGCCCTTTGTCCTGAGACTCTGCAGCGCCTCCTGCTCCAGCGGCCCAACCCAGATGACGCGCGGCTGCCCTGAGCCGCCCTGCGGAGCCCAGGCTGGGCCCGCCCATCGGCAGACCTGTGAGCACGAGAACAGCCTGTCGTCGTGAGCCTGGGTTCTGCTGCTCCTTGGATGGGTTCTGCTCCATGGGAGCAGTGCTGGCAGAGGTCTGCTGTGGTCCCATGGGCTGAAATCCCAAACTCCCCCAACAATGACGACAACAGGAGGTAAGGGCTTTGGGAAATACGTAGGGAATGAGGGTGGAGCCCTCATGAATGGGATTCCTGCTTTTATAAAACCGGCCCAGAGCCATCCCTTGTTCTTCCAGCACCTGAGGACACAGCGAGAAGGCGCCATCTACAAACCAGACCCCAAATCTGCCAGTGCGTGGGTCTTAGATTTCCAGCCTCCAGAACTGGAAGAAATATATTTCAGTTGTTCATAACCTACCCAGACTGTGTTCTTTTGCTTTAGCAGCCTAAACAGACGAAGATGGGGTCTGATTCAGTACTCAAAAAGGTCCAAATATTAGTAAGCATTGTTATAAAGTTCAATAGCAAAAGTAGAAGTATGCACCCCCGTATAACGCACTGAAATCATTTTAGGTTTGTCACAGTTGCATCCTTAAAGCCTGAAATGTATAGAGTATTCAGCTGGTATAATGAATGCCTCATAAGATACGCTGACTGACAGGTCTACGCTTTGTTTTCTAGGATAATTTAAACTCAGTCATGGCTTCCCATATGCTTCCTCTTACCCGCAACCATCGCCTCTAATAAGTAGCCATTTTCTTTTTCTTTTTGGGTCTCCGTGCCCCATTGCCTCTGTTCTCCTCACAGTTGAGTAAAATGGCCACAAGACAACACACGGAGAGGGTAACATGAAGCTCCCCGGCAGTCCTCATACACAACGATCTACACCGAATGGGAGTTTGCTAAACCATCTCGTTTTAACATGACTGCGTAAAGAGCTTTTCACCCAGACATGTAATCTGTGCTTTAAAGAGGCAGTAAAGATTATTTCTAAAGACTGAATGTAAACACATGAAATGATAAAAATAGAGTCTATGTGTACTGATTTTAATGAACAATGATTAATTTTATAGTATTTGTTTGCTGAATATTTTTGAAATAAACACATCACGAATTTACTGTCTATTCCTCTCCCTCATACCAGGTACACGGAAGGCACTCAAAAAATGCATATTAAGATGAATTATGAATGACACAATACATGGTTTCAAAGGTGTCTACTACTGGTCAAAAAATATTTTTTAATTGTCAGTCATAGAGTGAAATGTGCATTAACATACATGTCAAATACTCATCACATCTGCTTTATTGCTACGTGGCACCATTTTAAGGCCTGTGGGAAAATGTGATTCCTGAGATACTTGTTGGCTTTCATCAGTCATTTTCTTCACTGTCAAATCACTTTTCCTTGAGTGACTTGGGAGCGTGAGTTGGGGTTAGGATATTCAATTGTAGACCAACTTTCTGTATCTGCTAAATGAATAAACAAACTCTATCTTTTATAAAAGGTAGAAACAGAACCACGGTGTGTGGAACTTTTTTGCAAAGTCTACCATACAGGAAAAATGCAGCCTGAATACAAAAGAAGTATTTTCTGAATGTCTCTCAATCACCCATAAGGAACATACATTTTCTAGACAATCAGTGTTTGACATACAGCCGTTCAGCTGTTATTTTGCATTTACTTAAAATACCCTCTGCTAAATAGTTGTGTTCCTCTTTAAAAGTAAATTGCTTAAAATTACATTCAGTTTCTTTCTATAAATGAACATCTGCTTCACCTTCACAAAGCAAACACACTGTACATTGAAACTGAACTGTCACCAGCTTTACATACTGTTCTGCCATTTGTTGTGGTACAAGCACAAAATAAGTCAGAAGAAAACAATTCTGGCTTTTCATGGAAGCTGGTGGAGTTTACACTTCGAGACAGAATGGCAGACAAACTCTGAACTTAGCAGGGCCAACAAAGCTTTACTGATTTCATAATTCGTATTATTTCAGGATGGTTTTCAAAGCAATCCTACAAGATCTAACTGAAATATAAAACAAAACAAAAACTATGAGCAATCTTTCTCTCCTGGCTTCATTAAGGCCTTGGAATCACTTATATCCATGTTGTGTACATTTTGATTTTCTTCCCCATTTTGATGTACTTGCTCGTGAAAGCACTAAACCAAATTAATTGAAAGAAAACAATTCTGAAACTACTTGAACGTTTGATCCGACCAGAGATGGTGAAAGGCTTATACGGCCTAGTTTGTATTTTACTCTGGGCCTTGATGTTGAAATGATTACAGAATGCACATTTCTTGCTTTGTGATGATTTTTTGTATTCATGAAACAAAAAAAAGTAGGTGTTTAACAAAGATCTCATCTATTAGGCTTTTCAAACTAGAACTGAGAGCTTTTTGAAACAATTTTAACAACAAATAATGGCCTATTTCACAGATCTGAAACCAATAATTGGTTTTCTTGACCTACAGCTGAACACAAAATTATCTTTTATCTAAACAGGATCGGCTTGAAAATCCCTTTGGAGATGTTTTTTATTTACGAAATGCCTTCATGAACAACACCATCTCTCATTTCCTACTACTCCAATTCAATTTCTCCTGCATACAGAGTGATGAGCAGAATGGCTGTGAATCCAGTCAACATGCCAGCATTCTGAATCATGAAGAAGGTGAAGTCGGTTTTTCTTCCAGTTACCTTCTCTCTCAGCATGTCATTCATCTCTGGAAACTAGAGGGAAGATGCATTGTTAGATGACTGTTGCCCTCTTGTGGTCAAACATGAAACAGCCACTTACAGAGTTCTATGGAGGGGATGATTACGTATTTCAGTTGTTGAAGCGTTTTCTCGTATAGAGAGCAGAATAGTGATATCCAGCCTGCTCAGGTATCAACAAGGAGACAATATGGAAACAGTGTTCCCCGACAGATTAATCAGTGGGATGGGATTTACCTCATTTCATGCCTCCTGTCCCTCTCTGTCTCTGTCTCTCTGTCTGTCTCTGTCTCTCTCTCTCTCCCTCTCTCTAGCCCTCCCTCTTCTTTGCTCTCTCTGCTCCATCCACACTATTCTTTTAGGACTTTAAATGCATCCAATCTCTTTCCATCCTCAAAATCTTCACGCCCACCAAAATCTCTATCTGAACTCTTCTCCCTCAAGTTTTTCAGTGAGCTAAGTAAGTCTTTGAGGTTTCAGCATAAATCATCATTTCCCAGAAAGGCTTCTCTGAGCCCCTCCTAAGTTGCATTAGATTCCCTGTTATCATCTATCATCATATATATTGCTTTTCCTTTCATGTCACAGATTTTTTGTAATGATGTCACCATGTGTGTGATTTTGTTTGTGTGCTGAATTTCAGGTTCCCCTCCTTGCAGACCGAAGCCCCAGGAATGCAGGGGTTGTGCCTTTTTGCTCACTCCGGGGTCCACAGTACCTTACCAATGTCCAGGCCTGGTACAGAAATATCAATCAATAGTAGCTGACTAAATAAACTTTTAGAAATAACTATATATTTAATTCCCATCCTCTTCAATGTGTTTTCTTTTGCTTTCTCTACCTCTCACAAAATCATAAGGTTTTAAATAAATTGTGCACTGTTCTAGGATTTAGACTATAACAATCTCATTGCAGCAAAAGCAATTAAAACCCCCAAGTTTTAAAAATTGACCCTTTCTCAGCATATAACTTCTACTGAAAAGGCTCCGTGAGATCTGTGAATGCCATCTTTTCAAGACATATTTCAAAATGATTTACTTATATGTAAACAGTGGTGCACTGTTCCAGAGCATCCGAGAGATCTCCAGAGTTCAGTCAATCCATGTGCCTGATTTAAGAAAATTGTTGCTATGATAAAATGGGTGAAAGTTGTCAAACCATTCTGAAAAAAGTAAAACCACTGTAAGTACATGCAGTATCATATATTAGCATGATTTCTTTAAACTAGATAGATTCTGTTCTTACACCAGAGAATGGAGAAGTGATGACCTAGCATAAATGAACTATGAGGCATTAATTCTGTGAAGAAAAGCATAAATGCAGTAATGGTTCTTAGAGATGAAATTTCTGCCCTTGTAAGTGTTTGCACAGAACAATGAACAGAGATAGATAGTTATCATTTGGAACTCTGAATGCAGATGAAGAAAATTAAATTATTAAATTATGTCTGTAATACATATTCAGTTCCAAATGCAAAGGAAACATTCTTTGATTTGCATAAACTTAGCACATTTTTCATTTTTTTGAAAGCTGTCCATGATTTACTTGAAAATGCACAGGGCCACAGATATTCTCTCTCTTACACACACACACACACACACACACA